TGCTATTGATGGTAGCTTGGCTATTTAAACATGCAGGGCTTGTGCAGGATGTCCCGGGCAACCAGTCGGTGGTCTGCAGCGCTTTAGCTTCAGCTCAACTCTCTTCAAACCTCGAAGTCGAGCGGCGACTAAAAAGCACCAGAGAGTCTCACTGTGCGGTGGAAAAACGTCTTTAATTTCATTATCCATCAATCTGTTGCATCTTTTTACGTTTCGTGGACAGCAGCATGTTGAAGGCGTACTGTATCTATCAAAAGCTGCGGCTTATAACAAAACTCTTGTAATAACTTGCGAACGCACAGCAGCTAGTTAGGTACTACTTCAGTACTACACAGTTCACTGTCTTTTATGTTTCCAGCTATTTTCTAACACGTACAATGTGTCTGAGTTTCCTTTACAGTGACTTTAACTCAAAGTGATTTAATGTGAGAAAATCTTCATTTGAGTGATTGAAACCAGTTAATTTGTGGAATGTTTCCTGTAAACTGATTAATCAGCTGATCCTTTGAGCACTCCTTCCTGCCCTGGATCCGATACTGGTCTCACTAACAGTCAGTATAACACACACTGACCGGGCAGCTCCATGCGGTCTATCAGCTCCATCTATTTTTTGTGCCTCACTAACCGTTCACCCCTTCAGTTCATCGGCCCTTGACCTTTGGCACCGAACCTGTGAACTTCTAATTTTGTTGTTGTAGTCTCCCCAGCTGCTCACTTTGCTATATTTGCCGTGCTGATTCAGATTGAGCCGCGTATGCGCAGGGATGCTCCCGTCGTCCCGAGCAGACAACTGGATCTGTGGACGCTTTAAGTGGAGAGACGATGGGCCGCGTTTTGGGTTTGGCGTGCTGTGAGAATACCTCCGGGGCCTGTTAGATGCTCGAGCTGCCACGGGCCGCTGAAAGAGCTGATTGTTGGTTGAGAGGCAGTCTCGGTGAAGCGAGGCTGACGGAGGGGGGCGAGGCTGCTGAGGAATGTCCAGCATCGCTCTGCGTCAGGGTCCAAGGCCAAATACTCTCTGGGTCATGACTCACCTCCTACCACTGCTCTCAGCCCCGTGCGAGCTGCCACCAGAGGGAGGGCTGTCGGTGGCTCAAACACGGGTCTTTGAGGTCTGGTAGCCTGACAGTCACAGAACCGTGAAGTTAGATGGCTTTCAACTGCTCGTGATGTGGCCAACCCCTCCCACGTCCTCCCTAAATGTGCAGCAGCAGACCAAATATTTGACTGTACTTCCAGTAAACCCCCATCTTACAAGCCCCTGCGGGTCCTTGTCTTAGCACTCATTGATGACTGACAGGTCTACATGGAGCTGTTTGGAAACCTGATCAGACTCCAGTCTTTCCATCCTGTTTCATTCTGTGTATATTGATCTGCCAAACACTCGAGGAAGGGGATTCCCTCAGCGTAGAGTGAGCGCTCTTCCACTCCGCTCCTCTGACTCAGAGTTTTCCAGGGGATTTCTCTGATCTGTCTTTTATAGTCCGGACCAGGTGGCGGGCCGAGCTGAGCCTGGCTGTCGTTGTGCTCATCCAGATGTGGCTCACTGTGTCTCACGTTTGTGTCGCATGAAGCCCCGCTCTCTTGTGAATTCCTCAGGATCGTGTGAGATTCAGGCTGACTGACCTCGCCGGGCTGCAGAGGCCCTGCTTCATGTCTGCAGGTTAACACTGAAGAAACTGGATTAGTCCAGACCTGCATTACGCTGGAGGCTCATGCCTAAAGTGAGATAACACTGGAGCATGATGAACTCTCTATTGGGTTCTAAATTCCCACCAAACTAGCTGTTTGTGGAATCAAATCCAGGGCTCCAAGGGGCTCCAAGGGGCCCAAAAACCTCAGGTTCACTGTGTTTCATATGTGTTTGGTAATATGCATTAAAACACAACATAAACTGGAATTTTAAAGGTGATTATATATGAAATTCACTTGCCAGCATCTCAGGCAGGCAAAGTGGGCATGACCAGTAATTTTACCTAGCAGATAAAAGAAAGAAAATAAAACTCACTCTTTGTTGGTTGGTTTGGTTGCAATAAATCCTTAATTCACTGAGTTAGATAAGAAAGTAGCTGTTAAACGGGCTGTTATGTGACGAATGCGTCAAAATACGTCCACTAACAGTAGTAGTTGTTTGTGCCACTGACAGACTCAGGTTGTTATTGTCAGTGTGTGACAGCATTATGAAA